ACGGGCCCAGCTACTCCGCCGACTTTTGACATTGGTGGAGGATTTTGACGCTGAGGTTGACATGCGAGAGCAGGCCGCCACTGACTTTCGCATTCTATCGCCACCGACTGCTGCAGCGAAGCTCGCCGAGCATACGTTAGTGCATATTCGATGGCCCCTCCCAGGGGTAAAAGTCTGGGGTGGTCGAGGCCCCAGCTCGTTTTGCACCGTTTGCCTTCAAACGTCTACGGATAGCACTTTCCTTCGCCACACCAACTGCTCAGGCAAGGCGGAATGGAGTGCTAGGAGGCAGGCTGTCATTCGTGCTTTATGCGCGCACTTGCCACAGCCCAAGGCCCCAGCCGATACACGTGCCAGGCGCATACTTGCCCTGCTTTCACCCGCTGAGGGAGTGGCGCCATGATGTCGTCACCACCCTCCCAGCTGCGTATTGGGACTCTCAACATCCGCAGCCTCAGTGCCAAACTGGGTGCCGTCCTTTCTCTGGTGCGCGGCCATCAGCTGCATGCCCTTTGCTTGCAAGAAACTTGCATTTCTCCTGATGCCATGCCTGCTGTGCTGCAGGCTACAGGTCTGGCTCATTGTCATTTTTACCAAGGGTCTCAAACGTGCAATGCTGCCGGTGCCCCTTATGCTGGTGTTTCCTTTGTCACTCGGTGGCCGGCTCAACCGGTGTTGGTCCCTGAGTGGCCTCTCTCCTCTTCGTGTTTACCGCCCTCGGGCCAGACCCCTCCTTTTGATAGGGGTTTATCTGCAATCCGGTGATGCTTTCGCCGCCGCTTCCCTTCTGGATTCCGTGCTGCCTTGGGCCGCTTCCTTGGGGGAGGACTTCTGTGTGTTGGGCGATTTCAACTTGCCCAAAACTCATTGGCCGACTTCTTCCGCGCTTGCTGCTGGTCACCTCTTTGATGCCGATGAGGTCGCTGGTGATCCAGCTCAGTTGCCGGGCACTCGTCGTAATCCTGACGGTTTCTTGACTGGCACGGTCATTGACTACATGTTGCATTCTCCTGCTCTGACCGTCCGCTCCCGCGTTCAAGTGCAGGCGGTGGCCGACCATGATTTGGTCTACTACTCATTGCCTATCCTGGGTCAACCGGCTCGGCTTTCTTGGCCCCCTCGTCCTCGCCTAAATGCGACCCCGCCTGAGGAAGGTACTTGGGACCGTTGTTGGTTGCGGCATTCGCAAAAATTTGGTGACGCCCTTTCCGCTGGTAACTTGGATGCTGCTTGGACTTTGTTGTCGGCTTGTTTAGCTGAGACTGTCTGCTCCAAATCCCCCGCTTGTCTCCCCGAGGCGGCTGTGGGACCTCGTGCCGCTCCGTGTGAGCCGCATCGCCGCGCTCCGACTTATCAGAGCTTCTTGGAGCGTCGCCTTCGCCGTTTGGGGCGCAGAGCTGCGGAATTCACGAAGGATGGTGACAATCAACCCCTGTTCAACGCCATTCGTCGGGATGTTCATGCTTTGGCCGCTGACTTTCCTTCCTTGCTGGCTCAACCTTGGGGTCTGGAGCCCGCCGCTCAGCATACTTTTGCGTTAGCCGACCAACAGGCTGATCATGACCGCGCCATTCGTTTACAGCATTGGCAAGCCACCACGGGGGAAGACTTCACCCGCCTTTGCCAATGGGTTCGCGCAACAGTTCCCTCGCACTCCCCCCACCGCCCCGATGCGGATGAGTGGACTGCGCCGCTGCACCCTCAAGCTCAAGCCGAGCATGCTGCCACCACTTGGGGCGACCTGTGGGCTCCCGCGAATTTGCCGCAGCCGGAGGGTTTTGCTCAAATGCGGGCGCTTATTGGCCCTACTGCCGAGTTTCCTCTGCCATCCATCACTGGTGCCGCCATATTTGCCCGCTTTAAAGCCACTGCCAAAAAGCCCACCGGGCTTGATGGTTGGGGGGCCAGTGCTTTCTTGGCCGCTGGCCAGGCGGCGTGTGATCGTCTTGCGGACTTGTGGGCCGCTTGTCTTCAGCACGAGGCCATGCCGCAGATTTGGAAGCACATCCGCGTCTGTTTGTTACCAAAACCTGACGGTGGCCTCCGTCCAATCTCCATTGCTTCGGCGGCCTACCGCACCTGCATGACGTGTCTCCTGCGTTCCTGCAGAGCCTGGTTCTTAAGTTGGGCCGATCGCGAACTGATCGGAGGCATTCCGGGGCGCCACACGGGCCAGGCTCATGATGCTCTGTTCTCTGCCTTGACGGTGTCCCGCCAGCGCCAGGTGGCTTTCGTGGGCGCGAAGCAAGACGTTCGCAAATGCTTTGACTCTGTTGTTTGGGACCTTGCGTTTCAGACCTGGGAGTGGCTTGGTGCTCCTGCCAAGCTTGTTGCACTGTTACGTTGCTTTTACAGTGACCAGAAGCGTTGGCTTGCTGTTCGCGGTCACTTTGCCAGGGAGTGCATCATTCCCACGCGCGGCATCCTCCAGGGTTGCCCTGCTAGTGTTGGCCTGCTCAACGGGCTTATGCTGCTGTGGACACGGCATCTTCATGCTGCTGTCCCCTCTGTCTCGCGGTCTATCTACTTGGATGACCGGGTGATGTTTGCTGTGGGTCGCACAGCTGCTGCCGACGTGTACGCGGCTCTCCGTGCGGCTGCGGTTGCTGACAGAGCCATCTGCCTCACCGTGCATCCCGACAAGCTTGCTTGCTGGGCCACTCG